CACTGTTTTATAAACTTACAAAGGAATAATAGACAAAACTTGATCAGTTGGGGTGGTGGGTTTGCAGAAATGGCCAGGAAATGAAGGAAAACCTCACTCCCAGTGGATTGCCAAGAGGGGGAAAGGCATTTCTCATTCCTGTGTATGATTGATGGAGTGGGGTTTGGGGTGCAGCCCCAAGGCTCTCTGCAGGAGTGGGGTTCAGGGCAATGCCCTGATGGCCCTCTGCAGGAGCAGGGGTTCAAGGGGCTGGCCCCTTGGTGTAAAAAATAATCAGATATATCCAGGGGGGTTTGGGGCGCAGCCCCAGGCTCTCCACAGGAGTGGGGCTTGGGGAAACGCCCCAATAGCTCTCTGCAGGAGCAGAGGTTCAAGGGGCTGGCCCCTTTGTTACGGATACGGAGTCTCCAACGACCATATCCGTCACATGGTCAAAGACTTCTCCTCATTATCGTTCCTCCCCTCTTTCTCCCTTCCATCCTCTATCCTGATACCCTATCCTCCTTATCCGTTCTACCCCTTTCCCCCCCCCTCGTGCAAAGCTTTCCCCAACTGGGGTTTTGGTGCTGGCCAAGGTTATTTGTGTTTCGCGGGATTTCCCGCAACCTTACCATTTGTAGATAGTCACGCGTCTTGTACGGAAACCGCTGAAGGCGGTTCCCGCTAACGAACTAACTGCTCTACAACTGTCTCGTGTACCGTCTTCTGTAACAACCCTCCCTGTGACTCAACTGAACCTGTGTGACTGTACAACTCTCAATATGTCTTATAAGTCTGGTTATATCGAGTCCTCTAACGGCCCTCGCCACGAGAACTCGAAGTCGAGAGTCGAAGACTCTCGACGTGTGTATCGTCCTATTGAACCTGTACCCTATGGGTCATCATCACTCCGCTCTCCCCCCATTACTCAACATACGACGTCCCATCACAATCATGGTGATCGCGAACACTATGAGGCCCACTTACCCGCGATGCCGGCACGTTCGCTACGCGAACGCCAAGTAGCCGCCCATCCACCGTCTGTTTCTTCCTTTACCAGTCATCATATGTCCCCGCCAACGGTACGTTCCCTTTGGGAACACCAAGTCACCGAAGGCCCTAATAGTCAGCCCTCATTGCACGCCTACGATATCAACCCGCTACCGGTACGTTCGCACTGCAAACGCCAAGTACCCAATGGCAACTATGCGAAGCTCTCACCCATCTCACCAGTCGCGACCTCGCACATGGTACGCTCCATTGAGGAGCGCCAAGTATCCGTGGCTGACCCATCTGTCCTGATATCTCCGACTATCAATCATCAATCCCTTAATAGCTCACTACATCACCCATCGCGATCGATGGGAATTCGATCGTCCACTCCCAGGTCAGACTGGGATCACTCATCGATTACACTTCCAGTTATGGTACAAACTAGACATGACTCTCGTCTTCCCACTATAAGAACGGATCGAGGAATGGGGAATTTCCCCCATCCCCGTAACACCCTTGGTGCATAAATAATCACCATATATCTTATTATTTCTTTAGCACATGGGGAACAATAATAACAAGGATGTCGTTGCATGGGGCGGAGCCCCAATGGGGTCTGGGGCAACACCCCAGGGGGGTTCGGGGCACAGCCCCGATGCCCTCCGCAGGAGCTAGAGTCCAAAGAACACGTGGGTGTGCGAGGAACGAGCACCCCATGGGTTTAAGGTCTCTAGTTCGGGTAACATTGCTCATGGCTGTGACAGGTCTAAAGCCTTGAAGCCAAATACATCACAACACACCAATTCAATGCCCCTATGATCACATGCAGCCCACCAGTCCAGCCATGCAATTTCTTTAACAGAATTCCCATGGTATTGCAGCTAGTGCTGCACAGAATACCCACGGTTAACAAGTTAAGGTTTGCAAGGGCAGGTTCTTGCCATTTGCGAACCAATGAGTGAATCAGAGATTGTGGTTGACATAAGGCACAATGATATTTCTTCCTCATTTTTAGCGCAGTGTTGTGTCTTCAGGCTGTGGATGTAACCCCCCTTCCCATTTCCTTTCTAAAGGCAGACTCTCACCATGGGCTTCTTCACTTCCAAATTAGCCCCTGAGGTCAACAGCATTCACCCTGCGCACAAGGCAGCTGAGAACAAATGACATGTTTGAGAGTCCATCCTGTCATGGTACCAGTCCTGGTGCCCTAATAAAACCGGCAATATTAGGATGTACAAGATCTTACTAATTGCTTGACCAAAATCTTCTTTGATCTTACTCTAAAACGTGCCAATGAGCTTGGTGATTACTTAAGAAAGGAGGGACATGTTGTTGGTCCCCTTCATGGCCTCATCAAAGACCACATTCTCGTTAAGGGCCTCGATACCTCCAGTGGTGTAAGGGATTAACCTTACTTCACTATAATTCTGATTATAGTGATATTTATATTATGTTGCATCGCTATAATTCCCATTATAGTGATGCTGTTCTTTCTTTATTTATTTGTGCCGAGATATGTAAATTACATATATATACCTCTGTCAGGGACCGACCCGGGGTCGAGAGCGCCCGGGTATATCGCCCGGGGCTGAGGGTCTGGTAGGTATGACGCAGGCGCGTGTAACAATGGGCCCGAAGCAGACAAGGGTCCCTGGCCACTCAGGCTAAAGTGGGAAATGTGTTATTGTTATTATCAAGGGAAGTGTAAGCTACTTGCCTAAAGTGGGAAATGTGAGAAGAAGGTTGCTTCTCAGTTCCCACTTAGGCTGTGTTTATATACATGTGGTTGAAGGCCACATGGGAAGCGCCACGTCATCTAAGCACACAGCCACCTCCGTCCGGGTACCTCCGTAAGAGGTCCTAGGAGCGTCCGGTATGCGGGGGGTCATCCGGTGTGTCCGGGTCCGGGCGTGTTACACTGCAGCCGGGTCAATGGTTCATTGATACTGTTAGAATATGCGGATTCGGATGACTCCGGAGTGGAATCGGAGACTTATCATGGAAGGACCTTGGCCTCAGCGACTCATGCGGAGCGCTGTGCCATTGCTGGTTGTCCTAGGGGTCCCTAATTTCGGATCTAGCAGAGGGAAAGTCTCTTGGGGGAATTCAAGTTGATTTCGGACTGAGGTTACAAGTTACTAGGTACATTGTATATAAGGAGGGGTCCGGAATCAAAAGGAACAAGGGTAGGACGAAAGGAGACAAAGGGAGATGGAAAGAGGAACAACACCGAGGGTCAAGTGTTTGACTCAATGGTGTTTCCCAAAGGAGGAATGAAGGGCCAAGGCCCAAGAAGGAAGGAAGGAGGATGGGAGTCGGGAATGGCTAGCTGACTGAATAGAAAGGAAGCAGCAGCCCAAATAGGAGTGAGGGAGAATAGCGGAATTGAAATGGACAATGCAATAGTTGCAAGGTCCGGAGTAAGTCCGGAAAGTCCGAACTCGGAGGTTAAACTCCGGAATATTGGCAAAGGTAATTAAATGGAATGAGCTAACCAATACAATGGGTATAAGCGGAGGTGGGGTCAAAGTCCGAGGTCGGAGCTAAGACCGGAGGTTCCGGAGACGAGATGTGAACGGGATACCGGAGCGGAGGTCCGGAGTCAGGAGCATAGGTTTTGTGTACTCGTCTGGAAAGTGTCGAGGTTGGGGTCGGACCCGGAATGTTCCGGAGTCGGACCGAAAGTGGTGTCCGAGCCGGAGGTGGGATAACCTCTTGGGAGTCGGCAAGGAGAAAGTGATGGAAGGGAAGTAGGGCTCCGGAAGTCGGAGTTCGGAGTTCCAGGAGCCCGGAGTGGAGGTCGGGATTGTATGGATATGACAGATACAAAGGAAGTCGTCCATGTGATAAGAAAGGAATAAAGAGGAAAGAGAAGAGAAAAGAAGGGGAGGAAGAAAGGGAAGAGTAAAAGGGGAAGAGGGGGGAGGTCGGGAGGAGTGGATGGTGGGGCACCGGGTTAGGTGGGGCCGGGTCAGGCGGGTGTGCCCTGACAACCTCGGAGTAGTTGTAAAGGCCCGGTAGCCTTTTACCTCTACCCCGTTGAATATACAGCTCATCAAAGCTTACGTTTAGACAGACCTACTGAGGCCTGAGGCGAACAGGGGAACGGAACATTACCGTCCCCAAAATAGTAAGCAACCTTTCACTCACAGCTTGGGCTGAAACGCCCATGGCCAACAAGGATGCTGTTGTAGTCGGCTTGCCCTGTAGGAGCGGTGCTATCCTCTACGTTGAGACAGCCAACCCACCAACCTTTGTGCTGTGTGAATCATCCACATGTGCTGACATGGCCTCCTTTTTGTTTTTGCCAGTCATTAGAAACGCAGAATAACATTTTTGGCCAAACAGTAAATCCATTCAATACTAAATTGTCTCCGGGGGGAAGGTGCCCTCTGGGCATCAGAACGGATATAGGTGGCAGCATCGTGAGTTTTGTATCCTCATCCTTCATTATAGCTTTTTCTCAGAGGTACTTGGTGAACTTATTTATGCCTTTCATTTCCGAATCACTCTTTGTTTTCAGAGTGCATGATGTCCTCGAGGATGATCGGGTTGGTAAACCTCAGGTAGAGCAGCTGTTGCTTTTGGTTGTCTCAGCTTCGCTTGCCGTAAGCCCAGCAGCAAGTGTAGAGGTTTCAGATTCCCTATCTGTTTCTCGCCCAATCAGTTCTGCGAGGTGTGGAGAATCTTCTAGTTGATTCCCGAGACTCGCGGGTGCGTTTTCGAGCCAGCAGGTTTCCATGTGACGAGTAAACCCACCCGAAATTGACTCAACCGTGTGGCCAAGTATTCAATTTAAGCAGTGGTATATAAGTGTGTACGGAGAGTGGCCCACAACCACTACGAACCCCTCCATTCAAAACGCTACTCACGTTGCTCGCAAGGACCAACTTCACCTGCCATTCAAAATTCGTAGTTGACCCACTGCCCTCCCTTGACTCCGTCGGCTCCGCAGTCCTATAAAGGTCCCGCAGCTCTCGCATTCACCTGTTTTCTCTTTTGGTACCTGCAGGCATTTGGCGACTGGCATGTCGAACATGTTGAGCCATAACCCACCCATGATGTCTTTGAAAGAGTCTGCAAGCCATCCTGCCCTTAGTCAGTTGCCCCAGACGGCTACATTGCAAGCCACCAACGCCGTCTCCGTCAATAAACCTGTTCGTGGCCCCAAATCTACTATGGATATTTCCTCAATTATTTCACCACACCAGTCGACTGGCCAACAGCAGCCCCATCCAATCAACACCCAATCCACCACCATCACTGTGTCTCTTCCGTCCCCACCTCAAACCTCTGTCCCTCCGGCGCTTACTAATCGACAATCTCCCATTCCGCGTTTGACTGTACATCATGACTCCACCGGAAACCAGTTGGCTTCCACGTCAGCGCCACATCGTCCAGCTCAGATGCCTCAGTCTCCTTCACGAAAGCGTTCCCTCTCCCCCATGTTTGGCTCAGAGGCTATGAGACCGACGGATCAGGATGATCTGTCGGCTCGTCGGCCCCGGAAATTCTGGAAATCCGCCACCGGGCACAGGCGGGGCATCACTATACCCCATCACAGCACCGACTAATTATCGATGGCCTCCTGCCTCCATCTCCTGTCCACATACTCCGGTCTCGCCTTCAGCCGTGAGGAGAGGCAGGCCAACAGCGCGAGGTGTTGGGACGGAAACTCCGAGCAGTCCCGCAACCGGGCCATCATCGTTGTCACCTATCCGGGATACCCAGTCACCGCACTCTCCTGAAGGGGGGAAGAGCTAGAGGAGGAAGAATACTCCAGAGAAGGGTCTACGGACTCAGATGCCTACCTTATTACCACAGAAGATGACTGTGGACTGTACAGTATGAAGCATTCCATAGCTCGTATGCTGCATACGAGGCTTATGATGGGATGGACAACATTATCGGAGTTGTTGGCCCACTGACTTGATCGGCGCATGACCTAGCACTTTTTGCCCGACCCATGTCAGACGCAGAGGCATGAGCTGTGGAACATCAGGTGCTTGAGATTCCGTGGGAACCCGACGTTGTTGAGGGAATGACTTCTCCCAGACGTCTCTCAATTGCAATCCTTGCAGACAACGGGGTTGTCCGACCCCATCCTCCATTGTTAAGAGCTTTGGAAAAGTGGGTTTCCCGGTCCATATCAGCGAGTCTGTTACTGATGTGGAATAGGCTCTTGTGGCCGCTGCCCATGAAGAAAATGTTACTGTTAACCAGGCAAACAATTCTGCTGGCTCATCGCTGTGGGAGAACGGTTCCATACATTCCCATAGCTTTCGCTCAATACAAGTGTTGGGAACCGGGCTCCGCTCTCACTTTCCCCATCGAGCTCGTCGTCTTTAGTCCCCGCTGGATTTCCCTTTTGCCCCTTCATCTTTGGACTTGGCACTCTTACAGAGCTCAGCTCAGACCGCTCACATGTCCACGATCCTTCCTATCCCAGGTGGAGGATGTAGAAGATCAATATGACAATTATAAGTAGAGTGAGGTACTGTGCTACTAGGCAAGAACGGTACTCTCCCGCGTTTCGACATCGGCCCCCATAACGCTGTTCCCCAACCGCAGTTGATTGGATGCTAGGTGGGGGTTTAGAATACTGTGTATCCTGGCCTAGCCCCGAAGGCCATTTGTTGCGTTGGATGATGAGAATCTACGGGGGCCGGGGACTGGTGCACTGCGTTGGGCACTGATTTCCACGGGAGCACCCACACTTCCTGGCGGCTGGGGTGTGCTTGAACCATATCAGTTAGCCACAAAGATATGAAAGTGTGATACCGCGCGGCCGTTGCCAGAAGGCCGCTAACAGGATGGGCGCTTACTTGTGTATGTAAAGTCAGCCTCTTGAGATGTTTGAATGGCAAGAGATGATATGAAGATTTCCTATGGGTCGCAAGGTAGAGCGTACCAGAGCCTCAGCGCTGCGCTTGCGCGCAGGATGCGCGTGTAGCTCAGGATATCCACTAGGTCGCGAGGTTCACATAGACGTCATGATCTGGTAGGCGGTGTACACGTGGGCAGCTAAGATAAGTTGATGCCGCGCGTCAGCACCTATTATGTATAGGTTCAAATGTGCACTTTGCCCAAATCGGTCTAGCACGAGTAATCTTACTACAATTAGCCAAGTAGTCCCTCTCCGGTGTATCTGATGTCCGTGTTCTAATCTATGAATCGGACTGCACATCCAAGTCGCGATGGAGAGAATTCCTTTCCTCGTGGATACTCTAGTAACGATGGAGGTGATAGGGCAGGCATTCGCCACCGCGAAGTCTTAATGAAGGCTAAAAGGCCACCCATCACGGTTGATTTGTGAAGTTGACCAACTAAATGAGAAACCCAGCAGAGCCCTACGACAGAGCAGGAAATTTAGCGGGGGAGGACTGCGCCCTTAGCGTCTTTCATGCCGAGCGCCCTCAGTTAGGTGAAGCCGAATAAGCACGGAGGCCAAATGGAGGGCCGTTGACGAGTGGCAGAACCCTATGGGAACCATTTCAGCCTATGAGGTACATACCTCCATTAGTCCTTCGATGAATCAGAACTACGGTGCTGGCCCATGGGGTGAATGCAAAATATGTGATCTAAATTCTCCTGTAACGGACCTACAACGGGATTGAGCGAGAACATCACTGGTCTCCATGTTCTCTTATACTGGATTACCTTCCATCTCTGAGAGGACCATGTAACCTTTAAGCAGCGCCCATATTTGACGAGGTTGTTGCGCTATTGGAAATCATTGAAGATAAGATGGGGATGATGGAGCCTGAGAGAGGACGGAGTGATAAATTGCCACGACTACAACTTATCTAATCAAGTCGTCACTGTCGAGTGGTGTTCACTAGTTATGATGACCTCAATCAGCGTGGCATCGTTTATACGAAGTCATAGAGCTGCCGATGCCGAAGAGCGTGAATCCGGAATGGACCGACTTTCCTTACCTAATATAGTCCGTGTGGGGCCACTTCAGAGCAGCTTTTGCTTTCATCTCGATCATCCGACTGCGAGCACACCTTCTCTAAATTACCTCTTCCACCGTTCATCCCGGGTCAAGCTAGGAGGGAAATAATTAATGGCTCTTTCACTGCGGATCGCGTAAAATTTCAAACTGCACAAGCGTTTAAAAGATCCAATTTCAGACCGAAGTAATGGACGTATCACTATGGCTGACTGCTATCCGTGATTATAATCGGTTCCTCATCTACGTGCTCCCCAAGTCACTTCTCTCACCACAGCTGTGCTTCCGGGATTCCATTTCGATCATCCAACTCCCATACCGCTGCTACATTATTTGTTTCTCCTCTAAAACCTCCCTGTCTGTCTCACATTTGCTCCGAACCTGGGCTAGAAGAGAAGCAGTGAATCCGTCGGCTACTTAATTGGGTTCAGGTAACATGAGATGTATTGGAACCAAACGTACAAGGACCGTAGGTCAACGGAACAAGCGAGAGATCACCGACCCGACACATGACACAAAAAAAGCAAAACAAACACAGAAAACACGAGTCGGAAGACCACCAGGACTATACACGCAATCACGCACCACCAAGCAAACCGAGTCGTAGCAGCAATTCTGAACATTCAATTCAACGCGAGGATCAACTTACATGTGCAGCACATTTCTCGGTCCGGGGGAACTACCACCGCCTGCGTCAACTCAGAGAGGGACAAGGCGATATCCCAGCTTCCAAGCTAGGCCTTGAAGCCAATAGGCAACATCTTCATTTGAGTTCGTCTTCATCCACCTATCCTGTACACGATCAGGAGTTTCGAGCGCACCAACGATCGGTACTGGATTGACGATGTCAGAGGGGGCAAATCTGGAAGACCCAGCATGATGGGATGTGTCCAACGACATAGGGTTCAAGATCTGGGAATGGGAAGCCATCTCGGGATTAGGACTGAATTGAGATAAGGGCAGCATCATGTTGAATAGTGTAGGGTCAATCGAAGCGGATCCTTTTCCCGAACCTTGGAAAGGTGGGAATAAGGTTTGGGTTCGGAGATCCAGCAATTCTTCATCGAGATTGCTTGCATGCGCGGGTGACGCCATGGGAAACGCGTAGGGGGGTCCATTAACGGCTGACGCGGCACCAATATAATTCGTTGGAAAGGCTGTAGTAGATAGCGAACCATCGGGCAAGCCAGTACTGGTGGGCGTTTGGCTCTCCGGCATATGAGGCGCATGAACTGGAGTTGCCATTGGCACGGAAGCAGTAGGCTGGGTGGGGTTTGCTTCGTCAGCTGCGCTCTGACCCGTTGAATCTTCAAGGATCGATTGCAGGTCTGAAAGAAACCGGCGAGACTTTGGAAGGTGTGCTACATACGGAGACAGAGAAGTACGATCACGGTGTCGGACGGGGTTTGGAAGCATCAGACATACCGATCCATGCACGCCCAGGCTCAGCCATCCTTTTAGCCTCACGCAAACACTCCCGGGCGCTGGCCGATCTCTAGGAATCATTCCTTTTATCAAGAGAGTATCAGCGCGATGGGGAAGACATACCCTGACCTCACTGGAAATCGTCATCGAGCAGGCAAGGCATTCAATCCGCATCCTGCTACATGGACCACAAGATTGGGAATATAGGGGATCGACGCATCCCTTAAACTGAGGTGAGTAACTACACGGTGGAGGAGGTCATGTGCAAGAAACGAAAATTCGAAAATGAAAATTCAATGTGTGTGTCACACTATGTCACAGGAATATGACGATTGTATAGTAGATTTCCAGGTCGAGAAGGTCAAGGAGGCGTCACTCCAAGCTGAGAAGCTAGATATCCTCCCCCAGGCACCGAACCCCCCAGGAGACAAATCATCAAGTGTTCCATGCTGAACTTTCCAATCGAGTGAAGCCATTTCGTGCTCTCCAAGGAGAATGGCGAGGGTACGCAGAGCATGCAGAGTTTGAAAGGAGAGTGGGGAATTGGGTATTGGAATCTGGAGGAACACACCTTTCCTTTTAGTCGACAAATCAAACAACGTGGAGGCATCAAGGCAAAAAAAAAACAAATGACGAGGATGAGTGGTGAGTAATCGGAGATGGAGGGTTGGCTTTAAATCTATGGATGGAGAGGAATGTTTTGAATTGGTTGCACGGAGCAAGCGGACTGTGTGGAAGATTAAATCCGGAATCTTGATTAGGAAGTCAGAAGTCGAGAACAAGAGGATAAGAAAAAATCAAATGACAGAATGTGAATGTGGATGGTGTGAATGTCTGCTGCTGATGCTGAATGTGTGAATGTATGAATGTCTGATGACTGTCTGAGATGAATGTCTGGATGTATGTATGATGAATGAATCGGGTGCAAAATCACCTTGAACAACCACTATGTGGGCCTTTATAGGGGGACCTCAGGACGTTTGCATGGGGCCTAAAAGGCCTTTTTCACTATAAACGTCCTAGGACATCCTGGCCATTCAGTTTCAGTCATTTCATCCTCGGATGTCCTAATTCAGTTTGATTCAATGGTTGCAAATTGTCCCGGAATGCCATACTCGTCCATCCCATGGTCTGTGCACATGCTGACCACTGTCTAGAGGGATGTCAAGACTGTTTCCCACGGTCTGAACACACTTTACATAGTTGAATAGCCCCTTTGAATAGCTTCCAGAATATATATTTTGAGACTGAATTGGCCAATAAATTATTGAGAAAAACGCAAAATACTTTTTTGGACGCGAGTCTTTGGGTTAGTGTGGCTGTCCACCTCATGTCTGTGCACAGTGCTGGCCACTGTCTGGAGGGGTGTCCAGACTGTTTCCCACAGTGTCAACACACTTTGCGTAGTTGGATAGCCCCTTCAAATAGCTTCCAATTTGAGACTAAATTGACAAGCAAGTTATTGAGAAAAATGCAAAATACTTTTTTGGACACGAGTTTTTGGGATATCAGTGACCCGGAAATTTCGATGACTTCAATGACTGTCACTGAAATTTAGTGGCCCAGCACTATCCCAAAGACTCGCATCCAAGAAAGTATTTTGCATTTTTCTCAATAACTTGCTTGTCAAATTAGTCTCAAATTATATATTCTGGAAGCTATTTGAAGGGGCTATCCAACTACGCAAAGTGTGTTGACACCGTGGGAAACAGTCTGGACACCCCTCCGGACAGTGGCCAGCACTGTGCACAGACATGAGGTGGACAGCCACACTAACCCAAAGACTCAAAGTATTTTGCGTTTTTCTCGATGTTTTATTGGTCAATTCAGTCTCAAAATATATATTCTGGAAGCTATTCAAAGGGGCTATCCATCTAAAGTGCATTGAGACCGTGGGAAACAGTGCTGACACCCCTTCAGACAGTGGCCAGCATTGTGCACAGACAGTTGAGCAGCCCGAGGATTGTCATGGGAAATCAGATTCAATTGCGGCATTATGTTTTGAATGTCTACCCTGAATAATACAAATTTGATTGAATTATAGAATCATCCCAGGACATCTAGGATGTCCTAGGACGTCCTGGGGACGTCCTGGTGAATGGATCAGGCCTTTTCTTTCTTCACCAGGATGTCAAGGACATCCACTAGTAAATACCCCCTATTAGGCCCATTTGAAGGCCAAACGGCCCCCCCTCTATAGGCCGTCATTAGATGGCTGACTAGGCTGATATTTATCCACCTTCGATCACGCGTGGCGCTTGCTCGCAATACGCAGTCCTTACCTGATGACTTGGATAGAAGTCGAATGTTATCACTTACTGTCCAAACCACCCCAGTGGCTGACCGCTGACTTAGATGCGAGCGTCGACTCGTTAGCCGCCCTCCGCCATTGCTCCGCCATGACTGCAGTGCGTTTGCCGTAGTCGATTTCTATACGTTAATCAACGCATGTGAGCACTCAGGAATGACATGAGCATCGCTATTCTTCTTCAGTAAAAAGCTACGTCAGGAACAGTACTTCGGTACAATTGGGTGCTCGACCGCACTACACGCTGTGTTCACAATGAAAGCGCCATCTTGCATTCGCGCGAATTCTGCATCGAGACCAAATAGTGAATTACATGGATCAGCGAACGCAAGCACGAGTCATGAGATCACAAATCTTTTTGTACAAGGACTTGAAGATTCAACAATATTCAAACACTGAAGCCGCTAATGGCGCAAGCAATGACGCACATAGGATAGGCTGATCCACATCAATAGTTTATCGTCACTAGATCATGAAGAGAAACAGCTATTCGAGGGCACCATGAGTGGAAACGGCAGCGCTGCGAGGGACGAGGTAGTAACCCATACTCCACGCCAGTCCTCTAAGCCAGTCCGCAGCATCTTCGCTCCAATTCGCTGGATTACACATAGTTTCGGCGCGAGTTTCATGTGAAAGGCCCGTATTTACTTGGGTGTAAGGCGCTGTCGAAGGTCCAGCACCTCCACAGCTGACAGCGTCATGCGAGTTGTCCAGTATCGGAAGACTCCAATCCTCGCTGTAGGCTACCGTCTCATTGAGGGTCATTGGCTGGAAGGCGGGTGGCAAGTTCTGGAAAATGGTCTCATTAAGGGGGAGGCTTGCATTCGGGACTGGGAATGGTATGAGGGAGTGATCCAACATGCAAGAGGGCCGCTTCGTCATCAGTTCTGACATGTCCAGATGAGCCCAAGGTAGAATATGGGGCCTCATTAATGGTCGGCACGTTTCCGAGAGCGTCTAATGGCGGGATTGCAGTGGACATCTTGTAGGCTGAACCAGTATTCACTTCGTTCCCCCATTCATGAATCCTGTTTGGCGGGACAGTCGTTGGGGAAAAGATGGTGTTCGTTGCGGAGATTATCGGTTCAGCTACAGGCTGAGTTGCTGTATCCCGGAGGCTCGATTGTAGATATGAAAGAAACTGTCGCGTCTTGGGGAGCAGTGCTATCGAGAATCGGAATGAGTTCTACGACAGACAGGGAATAGGGACCCATTATGTACCTATCTCAACATGCCCAGGACCGCCGGAAGCCAAAGCCTTGGCCACAGATCACAACTCACTCTAACCGCATTGGGAACCTTTATTAAACAAGGCATGCACTCAACACGCAAGTGTTGACATGCGGTGCAGAGTAAGTGATTCGGGAGCTGGACACATCTCTGAAAAGTTGTTAAGGCGAAGTTAGCCAAGGAACTCGTTTGCTCTTAATTGTTTGGCCCATGCAAGAACGCGCCTTTGGCGCCCCCAATCAGGCAAAGCCATCGCGTGTTGAGCAAGCACCGAGGCTAAGTGATGAAGGACTATTGTCCACGCGAAGTTGAACTGCAAAGATGCTTCATCGGAGAACGCACCTTTCCTTTCAGCCGACAGAGAAAACAATGCGAGGGCATGCAATCGGAGTGGATTGGGGGGATTGGGGAACTGTGAGGCCAAGAGGATCCATCCTACAGACCTTTTTACATGTTGCACTCGGGTTCGTGAACTGTCTCTCCCAAATACGGCAAAATGCAAATATTTGTTCCCACGGCTCTGGGCCCCTGATAAGTAGCAAATTCCATAAAAGGGATCTTGAAATACAATGGTGATGCCCTGATCCATGTACGATATGCATAACAAGTGGAACCTGCGGCATCGTATTACTATTCTTGGGTCCCTCAGTGGCAATAATAATACCTAGCTCCTTAAGGTCTTTCCACACATCACGCTGGGATCCCTAACATCAGGCACTACGCCCAGCATCTCGGGCCGAAAAACTGCGCAATCGGAAACTTGTGTGGTCATGAAATTTAGCAATTCATCACCACCAGCTGTACTGCAAGGTCCCCCCCCTCTGGAGTGCTCCACAGCATCTGAAGGTTTCTGGGACGCGAGTATGTTACGGTTACACCAAGGGGCCATATTTTGGCCCTCAGGTAATTTTCAACAAATACAAGGAATCACTGTGCACATCCTGCATTTTTTGGACTGGGCTATACGAAATGTCATGAATGATCCCATGAACACTCGCTATTTTTTCCTCAGTGAACTGAATTAAGTTAACAGCGCTTCGGTGCGATCGACAGGTGTTCGATCACCATAAGACCAAATAATGAATCGCATGTATTAAGCGCAAGTCATGAAGGAACACAAGATCACCAAATTTTATTGTACAAGCACTCAAAGATTCCATGTGGCATAGAATCTCCAAACACTGAAGTCGATAGTAACACAGGCAAGGACGCACATAGAATCAGTCAACGATTTATGGACACACTAGATCAAGCAGAGAGAAGAAAGACACCTACGCCCAAAAAAAAAAAGCCATGAAACGGAACTCCTACACTAGGGCCCCACCACTGGAAATGACAGCGCGGCGAGGGACGAGGTGATATCCCATACTCCAAGCCAGTCCTCTAAGCCAGTCCACGGCATCCTCGTCCCAATTCGCACCATTGCCCAAAGTTCCGGCACGAGTCTCATGTAGAGAGGCATCTAATTGTGGGTAGGGCGCTGTAGAAAGTCCAGCGCCTCCATAATTGACAGCGACATGTGAGTTGTCTGACATCTGAGGAAGATTCCAATTCTCGCCATAAGATACCGTCTCGTGGTTGAGAGTTGTTGGCTGGGGCACCAAGTCAGAGCAAATGGCACCATCCAGTGGAATGGTTGCTTCAGGATTGGGGATGTGGGCGGAATACGGGAGGGAACTAACATGCAAGAAGGTGGCTTCGTCGACGGTTCTGACATATCCAGATGAACCCAAGGTAGAGGATGAGGCCTCTGAATTAATGACCGGCATGTGTCCGAGATCATTTGTCGGCGGAATAGCGGCAAACACCTCAAAGGCTGAAACAGTGTTTTCCCATTCATGAGTTCCGTTTGGCGGAGCAGCCGTTGGGGAAAAGATAGGGGTCGTTGCGGGGATCCTTGGGTCAGCTACAGGCAGAGTTGCTGTATCCCTGAGGTTCGATTGCAAATTTGAAAGAAATTGTCGCGTCTTTGGGAGCAGTGCTATTGAGGTCAGTGTTGCACATGACACAATCAGACATTGAATCAGACCATTTGCAATCTCGTGGTGCTTCCGACTTGGGTCAATTGTCTCGGAGGTCCAAAATACGGATGTAAGCCGGCATTATCGGATTTACCAATAGGACTATGCCGCATCTTGAACCTCCCACCCCGCAACGCCAGCTATACTAGAATCTAATTCTTGATTACATGTCCTCGTAACCAAATCTTCAATCTCCATCTCAGCTGCCAAATTATCCTTTGCCTGGAACCAATAGAGATCCCATTCACCATCCAATGCCAAATTAAAGATATCGCGAAGCTTAACACTACTGCTTGCTACCTGCTGGAGTTTTCCATAAACATGATACCTAGCAATATGTGCTATGAAACTCACAGAGGACAAGCTGGGAACTTGAATATCACAGTCTGCCGAAAGGTCTGAAAGCAGAGAAACCTGTAAATTGTGAAAACTGTGATACTCCTCCTGAGGGATGGCCGTTGGACATGAAAGCTCAGGGTCTAAGCGGGATCCGGTGGGGTCTTGATCCCTATCTGAAGGTGCCAGCCCAAAAGAGCGCCGCATGTGTCTTCGGTAAGTGCCTTGAAGTGCATGCTGGCGATTTAATTCCAATTTGATGGCAGAGGACATCACCATCTTCTCTACTGAGAGGCGATTACGCGAAGGATCCTTTGTGTCACCTGTCACTGAGAAGAACCGCTCAGTGTCCGCGGAATTGCAAACAAGCGACAGAACCAAAATGGCTAATTTCGCAAGTGGATCATCTTGCGGAGCGTTGAGCCATGCCATTAAAGGATTAAAATCCTATGAAAATATTCTGAGATAAGAGCACTTCACTAGTGCTGAGATACAAGAACTAACCGGGATCCGCTGTAGGAGAAATAACAGCCACACTATGGAAACCCATTATGAAAATATGCCAGATAAATCACAAAACCTCATACGACAAGTAGATATGAGAACATAGAAGGACCTGAATTTTAACGAATTTTACGAATTTTTACGAATTATTACGACTATACACGATAAATCGAAAGAAAGAAAAATAACAAAAATACTTCAAGCTTACCATCAACGAGACGGAATTCTCGGGGGAATTTATAGCAAATATTAAACCAAGAATTAGGACAATCGACCAAGATTTGACTATAAAAATAATCAGAGAACCTCCACGGAAACTACTTTCCCACGTCCGCACACATAGCAAGGATGGAAGTACCACGGAACAAAGATTCCTCAGGAACTAATGCAAAAGTCAAAGTCGTGTTTATAATAGGAAATGTAGATGTCACCCAAACGGAACCAATGAGAGTAATTATAGGGGAAACTACCCATAAACGACGGAGATATGACTAAAACTCCTGCAAAACGAGGACAATGTCTAAAAAGCAAGCGCGAAGATTAACTAGTAACGACCGAGACAAGCTTGATAGCCCATTAGAAAGGAAAGGATCTACTCTTAATCCTCCCAAATTTCCATAATAAAAGGATCATGCGTTAATGAGAAATCCAATAACGGGAATAGCGACATCAAAAGTCCGAGCTCAGGGACAAGACGATGATTGCGTAGGATCCATAATTAAAACATACAACGAAATTTACATGGAAATTATGAAAAATAGGAAACTATAGTTATGCAAATTCTCAGCCCAAACGGTCCAGCCGTTGTGAAGTTATACCCATGGCGGGAATATAGGAATCCGCATCATGTGTAATGACACGTGAGGGTGGCGATGCGCAGGGAACCGGCCGTCGGAACCGAGATCCGCACTTCGGCAGATCGCGAAGACCAATTTCCGTCCAAATAAGGAAGAGCCCGGTCAAAACAAAGCACGAAAGGTGCAAAACAACCTTAGATCATGAGGGAAAAATCTGAAATAAATCACAGAAGCCCATATGAAAGAAATAAACACCTGCGCATATCATAAATCCCGAACAACTAAACGAAAACGGCTCCCACATACGAACAACTATGGGAACGACGCACGTGATTACCGAATGTGTGCGCGAAACTTTGCTAACTCAACGAATACAGGGAAATAGGACACAACCTTAGTACCATTGGAAAGGTGGGAATAAATGGAAATTTATGATACCAAGAACGTGAGAAAACATCCAGAAATGAATGAGATACAAGGACATGAAGTTAGAAACCTGAAAACACGCGGGAAGACAGCTTCAAGAGGTCTAGAGCCCTAAATAAAATACATAAAAATATGATATCTTCGAGGACGACCTACTATAACAACGAACAATACATATGGAGGATTAGGATGTGATAATACAAAAGGGAATCAGGGAATATGAACGAAATTCACGAAAACTACTAAACTACGACGGACCATGGCGGGAATTTTAGGGAACGATGTTCTAATGAAGTAGAGAGCTATAACACATTCGTTTGAGTAATTCATGATTACTAGCAACTTTTTCTTTCAGTTTTAAACCTGAATAATTCACTCATTTATCATTTCAGTCTCATTTTAACTAAAATGTCACTAAATAAAATTGGAATAAATCAGCTGAAGGTCTCAGCACAGTCGCACGCATAGTAATGCGAGGTTTGAATTCAGTATGACCGAGTCATAGCGAACTTAATGGGAAATATGGGGAATTTGAAATAGGGAACTGCGGCAAATGCGGCGCAGACAAATTCTAATTAACCATTAAAATAGCTTAGGCGAGGAAGGACAATAAGGATTCCAGGCGCAGTCTGACCGCAGTAGACCGCAGTTCAGCGCAGCAAAGCGCAGTGGAACTATAGCGTGAAAATTTCACTTTTTATTCAGTTTGAGAAAAATACACTGTAAATAAATCCTGTAAATAGAAGGTAGAGCGTGAAAAAGGAAGGCGACCCAAGGAGTATAAAAGGGAGACCCTTTCTGCGACCTTTCGCCCCCCTCAGAGAAGTAAGAAAATAGAGTATTATTTTTCTCAAGCATTTCTGGTTGTCACTCCAGTGCGAAAAAGTGATATACAGTTAAGATTGCCACTGTAGTAAAAGGCAGCAATTAAGGAGAGAAATATTAAGTAGATATTTCAACAGGAGAGCTGGTTAACACTCCAGATTTCAAAGTGTAAACACAAAACAGTTATTTTGCTACTGTTAAAACAAGCAATAAAATAAAGACAAAAATAAAACGAACTCAAGGGACACTCCAGACACCATCTAAATTCATTAACTGAATAGAATCTTTGAAACTTCACCAAGTAGAAGATTAAATTCAAGTTTAAATCCAAATTAAACAACGCTACACAAAATTACACCTAGACAAATTAATAAATTTCAATAAAGAAACAGCTCCGCAGGGCTCGGTTTATCTGTAAGTCAATTCCCAGGAACTTTAAAACTAACCCATAAAAATAGAATTAGCCAAAACACTCGGATTGGTACTATATTTACAATAAACAACACTAGTACACTTCCCCATCCTAACTAAAGAACCAGGGAACAGCTTGGTGGTGGTCTCGTTTGAACCTCCCAACTGACCTTCCTTCGTTCTCTCCTTCACCGCTTACATATGTTACTGCGAGTCCAATCTCCACCCGGGTATCCAAAAACATCGTGAGTTGATGTCAAGTATGCAATTGCGCGCGGTCCAAGATTGCTTGCAGCTTCATTGGTTTCAAAGACTCGGCAGTAAACCTCTTCCATTAGAGTGACAAGCCGCAAATTAGAAAGGTTTGGATTGAATAATCTTCGCTTCACAAAGGGATTGAGAGTGACAGCAACAATGAAGAAAGAATGATCTATTTTTGCCCATTGAGTTTCAAGACTCCTAAGGACTGCATGGACAGTTGAAGTTGGTGCAATAGAGTGGGGAAGGAGATCTAGGGCAGTGTTTATATCCGTGTAATGTTTATACAGTCGTCCAAAGATCAAGGCAACCTGATCGGCACGCGTTGTTGAGGCCTGACATACATTCACAGCAATGGCTAAGGGGGTGATATCATCGGTAATCCTAAAGTGGAACTCTATATTAGACAAATTGTCAGAATCGCGCAAACACTTACTGTCGAATATCATTCCAAAAGTTTTCATTATTGATTGTATCAATGATCTGTTGTGCTTTGTTGATCATTTCCCGCCTTGTGCCCGCAGCCATCAGTATGTTATCACTCGATTTGATAATGATACTTTTGAGAGGTCTCTTTAAGTCCAATAATCGCTGGAGTGACATCACATGTGAAGACCACCGAGTAATACACCCACGGATGAGGGTCTTTGCTGTCCCAGTGAACTCCGGAAGAGTCTTCTGCTCGGAGTACAGAAGATGAAGCGCAAGAGAATGGTTATTAAACCAGTTCACAATCTCACTTGCTTGTGCCATGTGCAACTTGACACTATCAGACTGTTTGATGTAATCACCAAGCACCAACTGAACCTATTGAGGACTGTTAACACTCAAATAGTAGAAGAGGTAGGGACGGACTTGGTGTGCATAACAGTCAACTGTGATTAGCCGAGGGAAATTTTGTTTGAGCATTTTCCGTGCTGCGCGTGACTCTCCCGAAGCATCAGAGACCCAACCAATGAGTTTGAGCCCAAGTTTCTCTTCGATAAAAGTCTTCTCTTGAAGCATTAACTTGAAGAGGTTGTCAGCAGTCTTGCGCGAGCCGGATGTGTTATGGACATGTGTCATCCGAACCTGGGTATAGATATGAGTGAATTAACCCTTTACACAGTGAAGAGAGGATATACCATATGGTTTGCAGAAACCATGAATGCGATGAGATGATTCCGAGATGTGTCACGCCAGCCATCACATTGGCCAGTGGCATAGGCACTGCACATCATGTCAGTGAGGCAATTTTGAATAGACTCGAACTCCGCTGAGAGAAGAGGTCCTGAAACTTTGTTTCGTTGCGGTAGCTTGAATGCAGGGTTGAGCATGTGCACAAACTTCACCATTTCGGGGTCGTCAGGCAGTCGGAATGATATCCCAGCAGAGATTATAACGCGGAGAAACTGTCTTTCTAGATCCTCCTGTTGCTTCTTGGGGAGCGGGGGGATATCGGAAATTCCCTCAGACAAAGATGAATAGCTACCGCGCCGGCCAATTTGTAAA